TCTATAAGATATTATTTAATTTATTTATATATTTATATATTTTTATTTATTATATATTTGGGCCATATTAATTTTTTTTTGGTAGGATTACATGCATTCATTTATTTATTTTATGTATTTACTTATTAATTTAAATAATATATATATATATATATATCAAAAATATTAGAATGATAAATCCTATCACAAAATATTCTATACAGTTTTCCCAAATACAGCTTTCATCTATTATTTATCAAACATAAATTTCTTTCTCCGACTACATATTAAAACCATAAATGTGTTCTTAAACATCTGATTGGGAGACCCATTTCCTATTGCTATCATGATTCACGTTATAAATATTTTGTGGTGAAGAAAATAAATAGCAGATAGGAACCCGGACATAATTGATGTATTGACTGGGCACTGATGGAACCCTCGTTTTCGCGTTAGGTGAAAGAAGACAAAGCAATGGAACAGTCTTAAGTTTTCATATCGGGTATGGAATATATGCATTGTAAAACAAGAAAAGTGTGAGAAATTTGATAAATATAAATAATATTGTGACGATGGAGAGGCTACTTGTTTTTTTTTTTTTTGGATATCTTCATTTCTAATACTGCGCTTCTTCTAATATAATGATAATATATTATCGTATTTTTAGAGGATCATTCTTCCTAGTTTTTTGTAATACCTTTTTTTCTAATATGTCCCTATGAAATATGCTTCCCTTAGAGGCATTAATCTTAGATCGAAATGGAAGAAAGTGTTGACGTTTCGAATTGGTAAGAAAAGATACGTAATTAATTATTTTTTCTTAAATAAAATATCATATTAGCATATGGATAAATTTTCTCCATATTATCATAATATATAACGGAAGGTTAGAATTTTTCTAGTAATGATTATAGAAGTAACTATTTCGTATTCATCCTATGCGGAAGATAAAGTGATAAATTCATAAGTACAAAAGTATGAATTTGCCTTGAAGAAAAAAGCTTGAGAGTGGTGAACAAACATGCACGCAACACTTAATGCAAATTCATACGTAGAAGTATGTATCCGTTAATGAAATAAAAAAAAGATAGATGGTGAATCACCACATTTGGTCTGGTGCACATTATGCTGGCACGTAGGGATAACATTGTGGCCAATAAAACTTAGCTTTTCTTTGGGAGCACCTAATTAATATATGGTGGCGATTTGCTTTGCTTGTCCGTGAAATGTCATTCAGAAATTAAGTTAGATTTAGGCATCCGTGACCACATAAAGCTGGTTGGATTCGTAGTCCACTCGGCAGGACTTTGCCTCAACCACCGGCCATCACTTGGGAGGAAAGAAGACGATAAGTTTGACGTTGCCGGCAATCCAATTCTTACGTATTGAATGACGATAAGTTTGACGTTTGACGGAACATGACATGGTTGAATTGTCTATGTATCAAAATCCTTTTTCAGTAATTTAATTCCAAACAGGTTTTATAGGTGGCTTTGTACGATTATATCATCTCATATTTTATAAAATAATTTTAGTTTAGGCTAAAAATTTAGAGTTTATTTGGGAACAAATTTGATGCATATTTTGAATATGATATTTAATATTTTTTAAATCAATTTTGACTTAAATATTGTATTAAAAATGTTCAAGTGCTTGCTGATGTTATATTAGGATAATATTGGCATTTCAGTATTTGTAGGATGCTAATATAATTTTTAAAATTTTAAGTGTATCATTTGATTTTATCTAAAATTATAATATTATCAAAATGATTTAGCGAGAGATCAATATGATTTATATTTTTTATAAGATAATATTATTTATTTATTCTTAAAATTATTTTATATTTATTTGTATATTTATATATTTTGATTGATTATATATATTTTTTATAGGATTGCATACATTCATTCATTTATTTTATTTATTAACTTATTAATTTAAATAAAAAAATATATTTATTTTTAATAAATATATATAAAAAATATTAGAATGATAAATTTGTCACATAGTATTGAAGACTTTTGAAATACAGGTTTATCAAATAACACTTATGTGAATACGCATTTAAAATATAGTCTTTCATTTATTGTTTATTAAACATAAATTTTTTAATAAATATTAAAACAATATTAGAATAATAAATTCGTGACATAATATTCAAGACTTTTGAAATATAGTTTTATCAAATAACACTTTTGTGAATATACATTTAAAATATAGTCTTCATTTATTATTTATTAAACATAAATTTTCTTAATAAATATAAAAACAATATTAGAATGATAAATTCGTCACATATAATATTCAAGACTTTTGAAATACAGTTTTATCAAATAACACTTATGGGAATACACATTTAAAATATAGTCTTCATCTATTGTTTATCAAACATAAATTTTTTAATAAATATAAAACAATATTAGAATGATAAATTCGTCACATATAATATTCAAGACTTTTGAAATACAGTTTTATCAAATAACACTTATGGGAATACACATTTAAATTATAGTCTTCATCTATTGTTTCTCAAACATAAATTTTTTTTCTCCGACTAAATGTGTTCTCAAACATAACCTATAATTCTTTCAATGTTTTGATCATAACTTTGAGAAAGCCTGACCGATAGCCCCATATCCCATCGCAATAGTGCTCGACCTTACAAATATTTTGTGGTGAAGGAAATAGATAGCAGATAGGAACCCGGACATACTTGATATACGACCCATTGCCTAACCATGTAAATCCATCTGAGATACAATAATGTATTCTCTCATTCGAGATGGGTTGCAATCATGATTGGCACACGTCGAGCGCACTCACGAATACATAAATGCCATGGATATGGACATACGGCGGTGTTGTACATACCACAAAAACACAGGACGGCATAAGAGTGAAGAATCATCGATTAAGGACGTCCCTCGTGTTGCACTCATGTAGTAAGTCCTTGTAGTGCAGCACTTGCATCAAAGAGAAAATGGACTTCATTTTGCATCCACGCGCCTCACGACGAGATGCATCAGATGATTGCGGAAACAAATATGACTCCATCATGGCCGATCGAGTGTCGACCATTGATGCTGAAAAGGATGGCATCCACACAACTCTTGCGTCGCCTATATATATGGTCCTGTTGCCCTCTTCGTGGTTGGAGGAGATGGGCACCATTCGACGACTCCGACGTCGACAAATATGGCAAACTGTCTACGCTGATGGAGCCCTCATTTTCGTGTTAGGTGTAAGAAGACAAACCTTAAGTTTTCATGTCGAAATATATACATTGTCAAACAAGAAAAGTGTGAGAGATTTACCGATCAAGAATAAATATAAACAATAATGTGATGAGAGAGAATCGTTAATCCCTGTAATCAAGAGTATAATGATAATATATTATGATGGTTTCTATGATGGGAGAGAATATTTTTTCTATTTTTTTTCTTTTTTTATATCTTCATTTCTAATATATCGCTTCTTGTAATATAGTGATAATATATTATGATGGTTTCTATGATGGAGAGAATATATATTTTTTTTCTTTTTGATATCTTCATTTCTAATATATCACTTTTTGTAATATAATAATAATATATTATTATTATCATGATAATAGATAATAATAATATATCACTCTTTATTCCTAATATATCCCTATGAGACGATACTTCCGCATTAATCTTGGATAGAAATGGAAGAAAGTGTCGATGATTCCAATTGGTAAGAATGATGATGAATCAGAAAAGACATGCAACTCATTGTTTTTCCTAAATGAAATATCATATTAACATATGGATAAGTTTCTTTCATGTTGTCATAATATACAATCGAAGGTTCAGAGAGAATGACAGAGTTTTTCTAGTAACGATTGAATCTAACAAAGCTTGATGACTATAGAACATCGATACTAATGCATATCTTCTTGAGTGACGAAATGTTGTTTCTCAAAACTTCTGAATTGTGATAAATAAATACTATATATAATATTTTGATGAAGAGAATCATAGCTAGATTGATAGAATCATAATAATATATTCTTATGGTTGCAATGATTGAGAGTATCATCATAATATATTATCGGTAATCGGTCTTCCTAATATGTTCTTTCTTAATATCTTTATTACTAATATTAGGATGCCATACTTGATGAATTATTGAGATACGCCGATAATGTTACCAGACGCCTTCCATGAGAAATCTAATTACACCGTATTAGGCATTGCCTTAAAGAGAAAAGGTTTCCAAATCCTGTCTGCAACGAAAACACACACAAGTCATGGGCATTAGTTCACCGGGTGCAATATGGGCTCGGCCCGGCACGGATCGGGCCGCAGTTGATGGGCGTGGATGGCCCACCTCGAGTTTACTTCATGTCGTCATCGCGGCTCCACCACGCGCGCTCGCTCGCTCGCCCGTGTGATCTTGCCGTGGGACCCACTAGCTGGTGATGGACGGTCTCGAGACAGCTGTGCGTCCACCTGCAGAAGACGCCCAGCACAACGAATCCAGCCTCCCTATCCTTATCCAATCACCAGCCGTGCATCTATCACATGCTCACGAGATCAACCGTTCGATCAGCATCCTCGGGCACTTGCAAATAGGTCTCTTAAGATAAACCCAATATATGATCGCGATGAGAATTGAGTCGGTGAGGACCAACCAACCCAGGAAGAGGACCCGACTGCTTCCGTCTTCGCGGCGACAATATAAAAGTGTTATTGACTTATCGTATGTCTTGCCAGGGGAACGAACCGCGGTATCTCTCATCGCGTCTCATCTCATCTCTGTTCCCGTGACGTTTCCAAGAAACCGGAGAGGGATTAGAGCTCGAGAGCTTTCGTCGCCCTCCGTCTAGTGTTTGGGGTTTTCTTCGGATCGAATCGGAGAGGAGGGCGCGAAGGGGGCAGGGAGGCGGAGGCGAGAGGAAGAGCGATGGCGATGAGGGATCTTGTCACCGGCGGGGCGGCGTGCGCTGTCCCCGGCACCGCCGCCTCGTCTTCGAATCCTTTCGGCGCCCTCGCGAACGCGATTCTTGGATCGTCATCCAAGACCCAGGTGCCCCTCGATTTCTTCTCCTTTTTCCTTTGAGCTATTTCTTACCCTTGGCGTTTGTGGTTCCCGAACTAGTTTGGTGGTTCATTTTCTTGAAATCTTTGTGTGTTTGCTACTCGTATCGGAATCGAACTGGTCCTTTGCACTGTGGTTCTTGGTTCATTTCCCCGAAAATTTCATGTTCGTTTGGTGTTCTTGTCGGAATTTAACTCGTACTTTGTGGTTCTTTTTGATATATCCACGTGTTGGACTCCTTCTCTTGTAGTTTGCCTTGTAAAAATTACTTTCGTACTTGAAGTTCCTCACTTCTTTGAGTTGATCTGGAAATTGGGGTAGGGTCAACATCGCCCTTTGCTTTCTTCTAAATAAAAATTGGCATGTTTGTATAAGTGATGAAAGTAGTCTAATTCCCTCCAATATCTGGTAGCCCTAAATCTAAAGAATTGTTTCCCCTCATAAGTCCCCACATAGAACTTTTTGGGCATAATCCTTTAACTCTTCTCGCTAATTGGATAAGTGGCTCGATTTGCATTTTAATTCTTGTTTTGTATTACAGAGAATTAATGGTGTTAGTAATAAAGGAAAAATAAGTTTTAGAGCGCAAGCTATCATGTCTTGGTCATATCTGGTGTGAAGTTTTAGAAGGCACCTCGTTTTTAGTCTTGCAACTTATCTACAACTTTAGAATGCATCTGGTGGATGTTGAAATGATATATAGATTCTGTAGCATAAAGCCTCCAAATTAACAGCAGTAGATCTGTAGGGTTGTGTTCAGCAGCATAAGTTAAGCAAATGCATAGGCGAAACAGTTGTAGGATAAATATATAGACACACACGATTCATTTTTATAGAACTAATATAATCGTGAGGAATACATCTTCACACAATTGTGTGATGCTAAAAATGTTTGTGAACTACCTAGTGTTGTTCTTGGTGCAAGTGATTAAATCTTGTTTACAAAACTGTATACGTCAATTTTCATTTCATAATTCTTTATTTCTACATAGTATTTTTAATAAGTCTGGATGCATTGTAATGGTGGATATGGGAAAAACAATATATCTAGACATTTTGATCTCTGGGCCTTGTGAAGATCCACAATTATCAAATGTATCGGCTCAGTGGGTCACAGGCACATTTAGCTAGTCCCTTTCTCCATTTATTTCTTCATTAATATGAAGTTCAACCTATTTTGTTAAGACAAGGATCATTATTGTTCATATATATACACAATTAGTAGTAAACATTGAACTTTTTTACCAGTTTGTCAGGCGTCTTGTCATATCTGAATCGGGAAACAAGTGCTTTGTGATGTAGCGTATTTCAGTTGATGGCCTTTGGATAACTGAGATATACTTCTTTTACAGTCTATAATCAATTATGCCACCATGTTTACTGATCCGATGGAAGGTATGCTTTGTAGGAGTTGAAAGGATTACCTGGATCAGCAGTCAATGTGCCTGGTCCGTCGTCCGACTTCAGAACTGGAGCTCCTTTGACAACAATTCCAGGCTTAGAGACTGAGGGTCAACAGCATCATCAACCAGTTGGGCAGGTTAGTTCTTGTTTTTTTATTATTTCTTGCTCATCTTCTAGATGCTTTGCTAGCAACACTGACCTTCAATCACAGAACTATGAGTTCCTTGCTGGTTTCCGCACTGCTGACCATGGGGTCCTTGCTGATGCTTGGAATGAAATTCATCAACCTCCAGCTCTTCAAACCCAGGGTGGAAAGATTGAAGCTCAGTTCCAGGAGTTTGAACAAATCTACAATCGTGGTGCTAATTCTATGCTTCCACCAGCTTGGGATGGTATGTCTAAAAGCTGTTCTTTCAGATTTTGGGTAATGGACAACATTGTGTGTTGTTCTTTGGAGTAAATTTTAATTGTGTTCTTACTTGAATTATACTTGCAACAAGCAGTTGAGCATGTTATGCTACAAGAGTCTTATTAGTTCATCACTCTTCAACACATGATCTTGTTCTTGTGCTTTGAAGGCTCTTGCTCATTCTCTCATTTTGATAAAGTAGTTGCTTTATTTTTTTCTAATGCTTACTTAATGGAGTTGTTACTTTAGGTATCTGTGTATGCTCTCTGACCAATTTGCACATATCTATTGGCAAACTGTGCCTTCCATGTTATTGTCAGTCAGTACTTATTTCCTCTCATGGTGGTAAATTGTTTAGTTTATCAGGACAATTTCATGGGTTAAAAATACCCAAATGCCATTTGTGAAGGAAAGTAAATGGTTAATGTGTTGTTTATTTATTTATTTTTTATCTGCAATGATTCTATCATGTTGCTTGTGATGAGAGACCTAGATGGATCTTTTCCAAAATGAGCAAGCAGAAGTTGAATGCGTGTTGTTGTATTAATTCCTTCATTTCAGTGCAGTAAGATCTAATCATGTAGAAGTCACCTCCTTTTGTCAAACCTTAGTTAGTGTCACATATACAAACTTGGCCTAAGATCAACAAAATGTAGGCATTCATAATTCATTATTTGGTCTCCTTATACTCGAGACAGTTTTGAGATTGGAAGAGTTTTTGGCTTGGTAATCCACGATGACAGAAGTACTGGCATTGAATAAGTTACACAAAAACGGTTATTTTGGCCCTTATTCATCATCATAATGCTTGTGGTTGTGTACACAATTTTCCAAGGAAAGGATTCTTCTTAGATTTTTGCAGCAACCTTCCAATATATCAATGCAATATATTTTATGACTGCTCTTTGTGCAGAATCACCCTACCACTAAGTTTATTAAATTACAAAACCATTTATCTGTAGACCCAGGAAAAGTTCTACTTGGATATGTTCTTGTTTGGATCATTCATCATCCTGCAACAACGTTCAAACTTCAAAGTTTAAAATGAGACTGAATGCTAAACACACACATATGTCAAATTTTGCTAGTTTCAGGTAGTGTTTAACAATAATTGTTGACAATTTAGTAATCATTATAATTTGATTGATAATTTTGGCCTTTTTTTTATCATTCTAAATTTGCAGATGTGACAAACAGTTGGTAGATTTATATATTTCACACTGTGATTATTATTGTGACTAGTGAGATGAGATTCGTTGTGAAAATATTTGTATCCTATTGGATGGTAGTACCTCATACGAGCTTGACTGAGTGGAAGACGCATGGAAATAGTTTGTCATGTTAAGATGCTTTGGGATTTTAACTTTCTTTACTCACATATTTAAGCGAATTCATAAGGACACATTTTTCACAGATTGTGTTAATTAGGGTGCTAAAAAGCGGAAAATGCTGAGCTCCAATACTTGTGTTATGTTTATGAACACAAGAAAATCCTACAAGATGTGTATCTCAAAGGACTGTACAATGCATTCCTGTTCCTCCAGTAGCAAGGAAGGATCCACAATTGAAAGCATGAGGCTTGATGTCCCATGTCCTGAGCTGCCCAGGCTTGCTTTGTCATTTTAGTGCCCTTAGCTATGTGTTGCTGTTGCTGGCATGCACTTGTTTGGATTGGCATGACAAAGATCAAATAATGTATGATTACAACTTGTGTATACCATGCCACCCTTATGGAAAATAGTTGCTCTATGAGTCATTTACTTCATCAACCTTTTGGTCCTAACAGTTTACATATAAGAGTTGCTAATACTGAAAATATTAATTTTCTTCCAGTTATTTAATTTTCATTTGACGTACAAAACTCAAAACCCCATTTCATATCCAGTTATTAATTTTCTTCTTTCTCTATATTTGAGGTTATTTTTATTTTATATGTATATGATTAATTTGATTGCAATGTTCTTTTCTTAGTTATTGAATCTTTTGCTGATCATGCTTATAACTAATTTTGATGCTTGACTTTTGAGCAATGCATATACAGAAATTGGTGCGCTTGCACAAATCATCTTGAGCTTTTGATGTTACACTAGGACCTTACTAACTAAAATTGTGAAACAAAAAGAATATTCAAATATACCAAATTCATTATAATGTGTAAATAAATCTTTTCTTTGCAGGGCCACCACAAGGAGTTTTATCTAGATTTCTCCACTCCTTTGTTGATAGTGGTCGTGCAGGTGTTCCATTTCGTCCTGCAGCATTACCAGTTCTTGGGTTATCTGAAGGTGACAAACAATGCATACGTGACCGTAGCTTCATAATGGCACACCATATTTTTGCTGATAAAAGTGAAGAGTACATTAATGCACAGGTAATTGCTTGAGTTTCCTTCTCTCATTTCATATATTACAACAATGATGATATTGATGTCAGTTAGGTTTATCTTTCTTATCTATTGTGAAGTTGATTATTCTTGATTTTCATTCCAATTCATGTTATGCAGATAAGTTTGCTTGTCATATTCTCATTTAGATAATGGCATTAGGATGTTTCAAATATCCAGTAGTTGCAAGCTGGATTTGTCTCTTTTCCTCTTTGCATAGCTTATATTATCGAGATAAGCTTCAAGAGAATTTCGTTTCGTTCTTACCTTTTTTTGTTCTGCATTTACTGTCCAGCACTTTCAGTTCTGTGCCTCCAATTTCTTTGCTCATCTAATTTCTAACCAGATATCTTTTCCAGGTAAATGCTTTGTTACACTCTCTAGATATTGATGGCAATGAGCGGCTTAGGGGACCTATACGTGGATCATATCCAGAGCTGGAGGAATATTGGACTGAGTCTCAAGGTGCCTTCAGATCTGGGATGCCTAATCCTGCTGATAAATGGGTTTCAGAATTTGCTCGACAAAGGGAAAATGGAGATCCAGAGGCATGGGCCCACTCCTTTGAACAACTACATGGCACCAATGGTTGGGCATCAGAGTTTGAGCATGTAATGACTTTTGCCAAGCATATATCTCTATTCAACTGATCTTATGAACATTCTACTGCCAAAAAAGGATGTTGCCGAAACTTGTTAATAGTCACAGAGCTAAATAGGCAATAAAATTTCACGTCTCTGTTATAACATCACATAATGGCGATTGAAGTCATATTGACTTTGTTGGGGTGTTTTTAACGTTAGAACTGTGGTGACTGCACTTTCGTTAGAGTTTGGATTAATTCCACTCATTATCTGAAGTTTGATAATTTATTCTTAAAATTCTTTAAGAAATGTGGTACGCTAGGGAAAATGTGGGCAAGGAAGACGATGGCTTTCGCCTTTTCGTGGGCTTGAATAGGCATACCTGGACTCTCTTCAGAATTACTTGAATTAAGACATTTGAAATTGATGAAAATTTATGTTTTTGTTCTTGCTTATTGATGGTTTCTGCTTTGCTATACAGCTTACAGTCACTAATTTGTGTTTATTTTCTTATACTATTTCTTGCAGCATCTCTTTTCGTTATATCATACTTTCCTTTGCTCTAATGCTGGGTTATTGTCACTTATTACATTTTCTAAAATGCATGCTCTAGGGATCTCAACGGACCTTGGCACCTCTAATACCTAACCTGAATCTGACGTCTCTTTGTTGCAAACCACTACAGTAGGATCCATTAATAATCATGTATTCCAAATATTATTGGGTTTTTTTGGACATAACTAGATAAATATCTTGAATAAGAAAGTCAGAATTAGATCCATTAGATAGATATAATTTATATTAATGCAGTAGTTGTTTGTGATGTGTATTATTTATATTAAGTATTGATTGTTTGTGATGGTTGTTCCACCTATGTTGTATGCATTAATTGCCTCTTTGTTATGTCAAACAGTTATGTATTTTTAACTGCTTCACTTTACATTTCATGTTGTGTTGACATTAGACTGATGTGACAGACACATTGTGATGACATGGTGTTGATGTGATATTGATGTGTTACATAGGTGTTCCAACATGATACTGATGTGACTTCAATGTGGCATCGATATGGTGCCATTCTTACTCGTGCGGGGCTCAATTCAAATATGGGTGCAACCATGTATAAGCATGGCGCACTTGTCGTACCCATACGAATAATGTGGGGCCCATTCACATTTTATTATAATGGTTCCATTTTAGTTATAACAAGATCATTATGTGTAAGCAATATGCATGTTAGTTCTGAGCCAAATCTCTTTTGGAATGTGATCTATAATTCAATGGTAATTGTGTCTACACCTTTGTCTTTCTGAGATTTTATTTGGATCCTTTGTCTACATTGGTGTTAGATATGGATCCAAATCTGAGCTAATGACAGCTGACTCTATTATGACTTAAACATGTTGTCTTATTAACTTCTAGAATTCCAGATTGATTTTAAATTACTAGAATAACCAATTCTAAGACTCATTATTTTCTTTTTCAGATTCGTGTTCAAACATTCTCTGTTGCTGATAAATATATTACACACAATGTTCTAGAAAGCATTGGTTCTTTGTTGATAAATCTTGTGTATTTGGTCATACATGAAAATGCAGCTGTATATACAGACACATATGCCTTTGCAACAGCATATGCAGTCTGCATATGTGTGAACTATGATTGAAACAATGTTTTTTAGTTAGACTGGAGCACCCATAGAATTTTTTAGGGTGATTTGGTCTTTCACATAATAGGATTTACCTGTATATGAGCCTTGCTCATCAGATCCATTGCATATCAGGTCTGCAAGAGGTGACATCACCCAGAATATTTTTTAAAAGATAATTTGGTCTAGCTAAATATCAAAGTTCATGGTTTATGTTCCCCTGCATACCTGACCTTGTGACCCACATAGCTCCACAAGAGGCATGTATCATTTCAAGAGATAAGCATGCCCACAGCATATAGTAATCTATTCATTTTTTGAACAAGTTCTTTCTTATTTGTACCTGGTCTATATTTCATGAATATTTTAATACAAACCACACATGCACCCACATACTGGCATATGCTCTATGTGGTAGATGGACCTCCCGCTCTACTGCAGCTGCTATATGAACATTTACTAGTTTCCATTTTGGTACAATCTGTCAAGTTAAGACAGACAAATTCCTCTTAAGTTGACATATGCTACTGCAAGTTTCATGGTTTGTCGTTGCCACTTGTCTAATCTGGTTTTTCATGTTGTACCCTTAATGTTTGATATCATTTCACAAGAAGTTGAATCAGTTTGCATCTGACTATTGAAACTGCCAAACATTTGCAACCTTTGTGAACTATGATTACCTGTAGAACTCTCATCTGCTAACTGACCATCTTATTGGTCTTATTGATTGTTTGGCTGTAGGCCTCCTGTTTAGTTAATAAAGAATAGATTATGTTGTTCCCAAGGACTTTTACATTAGCTGTATTCTCATCAAAACTCATTGAGTCCGGGATGAACCCAGCTATATATTTATCTCAGTCAAGGCGAAGGCCAAAGGATGTTTAAATAGCCATGTTTATATAGTGATGACTATACTTAAACTATCGGCACCTAGGCTGATTAATTGAGAACAATGCTAGAGGTGGCTTCTTACAGTGTTCGATAAGGTAGATGACCAATACTAGATAATTGTCATGCTTCACTTCTGTTTAAGCATTGGCTCATATTTGCATATTGTTATCCTTACTCCTTTAGCATAGAACTGCATCAGATAGTTCAATGCTCATCTTTATTTGGTTATGTGCTTAGCCTTCACAGTTCTGTTTCTGCTTGTAGGAACAATCTCAGTTGGCATCGGTTGGTCAGGTGAGAGGTGCAAATATGTCTCATATAGCAGCCATGGAACAATCACGTATGCTTGCACATACATTAGCGCAAAATACTGATCCAAAATTTCAGGTAAGCAGCTTTATGTACGATGCTGTTATTCAGACACAAAGTTGCAGTTCTTATTGTTTAATATAATTTATTTTCAGTAAGGTCATCGCATATACATAATAATAAATGGTGTACCTTCTCGTAAATCTTAAATGTCTTTTGGGCTTAGGTCCCCTGAACAGCATAAAAATGAGTTCATGATGGGGCTGGCAACAACCGAGATCATATGAAAGCTGATAACAGGCTGAGCCTTGGCTTGTCTGTATAACAACTTGGCCTGATCCAACTGCTTAAAAGGCTTGATCCAGCTCAAGCCCAAGGCAAAAAGCATTAGTTATAGGTCAGCCTAGCTTATATAAGAAAAATCCCAGGACTGACATATCCTAGCTTTATGACTCGAACATATATTTCATCCACCCTAAAAATGGACCATAGGAGCAACATCTCTGTTCCTCTGTTATGGCAGCACAGGAGAGCACTGAGAATGGCAACTGTGGTTTAGAACTCTCATCACTTCTTTCACTGGGGTGGAATAGGCTTCAGGCAGGGATACTATGGCAAGGATGATAGTAACTTAGTGTGGTTAAAAGCAAAGGAGTCAAGGAACTTTTGGGACAAGTTAAGGATGCCCAGTTGGGTTTGGCGGGACAGGGTTCACAGACCTGATAGCTGCTGAATTGGGAAAATGGAGGGCGCTTGCCCTTGTAGGAATTCCAGTGGACGATATGTTTTCAACAATATATATTCAGCTCCAAACTAAGGTTTAAAATTTGTACGAATGGGAACCATAGGAGCAACATCTCTGTTCCTCTGTTATGGCAGCACAGGAGAGCACCGAGAATGGCAACGGTGCTTCCATCCAGAAAGCATGCCTCCCTCATCGGATTCGCTTGGCTACCCTGTTATAGTAAGACGTCGTAATACCTCTTCTCGCGTGGAGTTAGCATGGGCCTCCCATTCGGTATGAAGACAAAGATCCCTGTCCAGGAACGGAAGGGGACTCAATCCCTTCACAGCCAGCCGCTGATTTCCTTTTTTTTTTCCCGCACCAAGAAAGGTGGCCTGCTAGTGATGGGACTGCTAAATAACAGTGAAGCCTTGGTCGGTTCGGAATAAAGGCATTGTGGATCTCATTCATATTCCCGTCTTTTGGATACTGGTTTCAGGCAGGGATACTATGGCAAGGATGATAGTAATATAGTGTGGTTAAAAGCAAAGGAGTCAAGGAACTTTTGGGACAAGTTAAGGATGCCCAGTTGGGTTTGGCTGGACAGGGTTCACAGACCTGATAGTTGCTGAATTGGGAAAATGAAGGAGGGTGCTTGCCCTTGTAGGAATGGGTTGTTCCAGTGGACAATATGTTTTCAACAATATATATTCAGCTCCAAACTAAGGGTTAAAATTTGTAGGAATGGGTTGTTTCAGACTTTCAGTGTATTGAACCATGTTGACCCCATTGTATTGTAATGATTGTAACACCTCCAATTTAGTCATATATTGAATATTGGAGGAGGTTTGAGCTGTTGTGACAGACAATCCAAACTAGTGGACCCACCAAACTGATTCTGAACCTGTCAGTTTTATTTTATATCAAGTTAACTTTTCTAACATATTATTTGAAAGAATATTGTTCATACTGATTTCTATCCATTTAAACTGCCAAAACTTATCTGGAATGATTAGAGCTCCTGCGTCCAGGGGCTGAAACTGGAACTAAAATCAATAGTATAATTTCTTTAATGTTATCCATAGAGGTCAGTTAAAATACTCACTTTTAAATGGATATCATATTCTTGTAGAGCTTTTCACATTAATAAATGGCAAGAATCTCAATATATCCCAATGCTCTATTTGTTATTGCGAAAGATGTTGCTTTACACAAAATGGCTGGAAAGGTCCATATATTGACCCCAAATAGTTGGGACAGTGTAACTTGTTGTTAGTTTATTTATTGTCATTTTTATATTATCTTCAGTTCCCGTAATCACCTGATTGCATTTGTTTTCTTGTCTTTTATGTAAGAACTCAAAGTTCCTCCAGTTTGTATCAAAGATGAGCCGTGGTGAGCTAATAGTTGATGAGAATCAAATCAAACCAGCTACTGGTTCCCTCACTGATAATTGGGCTGATGAATATCAAGCACAGTATAATGCTGGTTCTAGTACTTGGGCTGATCAATTTGTGCACCAAGACGTAAGACTAATGCAGCTCATTCTCTAGTTAACATTTCTGAATAATGAAAGAAATATTACGCCCCAGTGCAATTTTTACTTCCTGCTCTCATCCAGTGTGTAAAATCACTCGTTATTGGCTGTATATGTGTTAGTGATGACAATCTAAGCTTTTTGAGTTTCTCTTAGGTTAACTATTTTCCTTAATAGTAGCAAAGTGTTTGTGGCTTGTATTTAATTGCTACCCTCTCCTCATTTGCTGATACTAAGATTCTTGTCTTTTTCAGCTTCCACAAGGAACAGATAAGTGGGTAAATGAGTTTGTTAAGGAAAATCAGCAGCAGGGAGTTGATGATCAGTGGGTTAATGAGTTCTCCAAATTGCACGTCCAAGACTGGGCGGAGGAATTTGGACAGCAGGTTGCTGAAGGGGCTCTAGGAGACAGTACTGCTGATGATTGGGCAAATACGTATGAAAAGTAAAGTTACTTCGCATCCTTTTGCTATTTAATTTTTTTATATCTTTAAATCTGTTACAGTCTGGAGGTTCTTACTATCTGTTTTTGATATAGATTCTGGTTTTTGAATTGTACTTTTAATATGTGTTTTTCTTTTTTTACTACTGTGCTTCTAATCTTAAGACATTGGTTTTGGATGATCTTCTTTTTTGTTATACCAGAGTCCTCTTTTTTTGAATCATAAATTATAAAAAAAAAAGTCATTTTGTTCTTTATGCAGTTTCTTGGATGAACAACTGTTGGCTTCCAAACAACACTCTGGTGCTTCTAGAGGAGTTTATGTATTTTCTGATATGAATCCTTATGTTGGACACCCCAATCCTTTGAGGGAAGGGCAGGAGCTCTTCCGCAAAGGCCTTTTAAGTGAAGCTGTTCTTGCACTAGAGGCTGAAGTATTGAAGAATCCTGACAATGCTGAAGGCTGGAGGTTGCTTGGAATAACACATGCAGAGAATGATGATGACCAACAGGTGATAGTCTTACCTTTGAAGGTTGAATCTGTATATAGCCTTTTGCTTGACATTTGCTTCCTTTTTATTTTACTTTAATTGTCTTTCTTTCACTCTAAGTAGAACACAAAATCCTAGAATTTGTCTATTGATGAATCCCCAATTGTTTAATACTTACATTCCACATTCGTGTATTAAATTATCTGTTAATGGGTACATGTAGTTAAATAGGATTAGTTGTGCAAAGAGAGACAAGGATGAATTATTATTCAAAACAATGACAAACAATGGTTTGTTTTGATTAGTGATATTACCTTCAACAGTGTTAAGTACAAACAATGGTCTGTACTTTTTGACTTTTCCCCTTTAGAAATATTCATATGTAGAGCATGTCTCAGTGCATGTATTTCCAGGGTTGATGTTGAAAGATGTAGTTTAGGTACTGCTGTTAATTATAGGAAATCTCCCCCCTTTAGTATCTGATAGTAAATGATATTTTATAGGAAACAACATGAATGTTTATCATTCTGACATACAGCAACTTAACTAACTAAGCAGTTTATCTTTTTGGTTAGTGTCATGAAATTTGATGGATCTTAGCAGCTTATTGCAGTAAAGGAACTGAAATATTGATGAACAATTAATGTGAATTAAAATGCCTTCCTATTTATTTCCCTCATGACAGGCTACTTAAGTAGTTTTTTTAATCAAACTAGTTTTGTGTCATTGTTTTGAGAGGAGGCAAACAATATATCATTGTGGTGACCTGAAATATGATGTTTTGTGTTAGTTTTTCGGTCCTGTTTTTGTTTCAGGCTATAGCAGCCATGATGCGTGCTCAAGAAGTTGATCCCACAAACCTTGAAGTTCTTCTTGCTCTTGGTGTGAGTCATACCAATGGTAAATACTGTCAACTTGTACCTGTGGACTACTTTGACATGGTTGTTACTGGGCAACTGATACTCAAATGTTCAGCTCTTCCTTCCTATCAGTGTATCACCTATATCATCTTGTCTCTATTGTACATTTTTATTATGGTATTGCAGGATTCTATAGTATTCATCTGCTATTAATTGCATACAGTTATAATCATTATTTATTGTTGATTTTTGTGTTATCATGAGATATCCCAACATCATTATGTGTGCCAAAATATAAAAGGCTTTTTTTGTGTCCTCTGTCTAAGTTATTGGAGTAAAGATGATGTTTGGTTTGTTACCCACTTGTAAGGCTACAGAAAGGACTAATAATATATTTAAAGCCTCACTAGTCAATAGTCACAATATATCTGTTATTCATATAGTGAAAGTTCTATCAAACTCAATGTGCTGATTTTTTTTGTTAGTCCTTGGACTGTGTCAGCTCATCCTATCTTAGTGATAAACATAGTTTGGCGATATTTTTTCATTTCCCTTCATCTTTGATTTTTTTAATCAATTTTAGTATCATATGAAAGCATTCGCTGATGCCTGCATGAGCCTAAACTTTGTAACCATGAAGCGCCTTATTTTCATCGAGATCTCTATAGCAGGTTCACATGGCTTAACCATGTTAATTAAAAATGTACTTTGGATTATTGGAATACTTATTTTCATTTTAAATTCTGATGGACACAAATGGCAAAGTCATTTGTTTAAGCTTTTCAGTGAATACAGAGTGACGTAATTTTCCAGTTGCATGACCTCTCCTTGATATGCTTCTTTAGAAGCCTACTTTCTCTGTTCTATCATCAATGATGCTTATTGTAGCATTGTGGAGCATCTCTTAAGTTTGCTTTCTAGGTTGTTTATCTTGTCCTATAACATACACTGATGGCAGATAGGTCCTGGACATTTGTTATCATAGAATTCATTGTATACTTTGTTGTTTCTGTAACCTTATATCTAATGTTTAAGATTGATTTGAATATCAGTGTTGCTTTTCGTTATAATTTATATATAAAAAAATGTTACTTCTATTGAGTCATAGTGGAGGATGCTTATTGAAGGGGAAAAGAGAAAATTGATTTAGTCTGACCAGAGCTGATCTTCAGAAGCCGATAGGAATAAGTGCAGGAATAAGGTCATGTAACAGACAGTTATTTATGGCACATCCTGGTAGAGTTATGGTTATCTAAGGGTTGGATAGAAATGGTGTAAACAACATCATGATTTAGAAGGTTTTCCTAATATATGATTAAATAGTATGTGATTAAATAGGAAGGAAGATAGTATAATAACCAGATTTTTGTCCAAGTCATTTGAATTTAAAAGGATACCTAACAGATTTTTTTCCCCTTCTGGTTCTTTTTATTTGTATTCAGATTAATAAAGCATGGTTAGGTCTGTGTTGGGCAGGCTTGGTGTAGTTACTTTGTGGCACACGTTCTCAACTTATGAACCTAACTATGCTGCCTCAAGCAATATCAGGGATGTGTCCTTTAGAAATCACAAGGGTTTACCCATCCTGCTTCAACTTTACAATTATACTGAATTCTCTGCAGTTATGCGAACTATGCTTTCAGCATTCAACTTACTCTTGACATGAAGACACCATAAATTATGTTCTGAAATCTGTTGTGTTTTGATGTTTGTTCATGACCTAGAAAGACAATTATACGTCTCTGAAAGGGTAAGATATTACTGCCCAAATGTTTGACTTTATTGTCTTGAAACTGATATGATTATCTCTTAGCCAACTTTTCCATTAAGGATGAGGTTGGTTTTGATTAGAATGTAACCGGAATATTTATAAGACAAAAAGTGACCAGGGAGCCTACTGATGAGTAGGTCATGTAACTGTTTGTCGGGAACTTCGCCTGTTTATAGAAGGAACCTTTCAATTCCTACTAAAATTTGTTAGTTAACTCATGCTTTTTTCTTTTCCAACTGTTTCTTTGTGTATTTTAACTTATGAATTTTAACGTCTTGATGATTTTAAGAGACCTAAGACATCCTGAGGTACCACTGTAACATAAGCTTAAGCTGCACCAAGTAGGGTAGATCTGACCCGTCATTTAGGTCTTTTACTTGTAGTCTCATTCTTCCAGGAACATGGAGCAAGTGACTTGGCCTATCATAACATGCTTTGGAATTTCACTATATAGTTAGCTTAAGCAAAACTCCTTGGATTGTGATACCAGTGAGGATGATTGTGATGCTGACAACTTTTTCTATCATCTACTATTATTTGCAGTTGAGTAACACTACATAAGCCAATCATATTTAAGTTTGTTAAGATAATCCAAATCCACATTTGGCTTGATTTATAGGTCTTGAATTGAATGAAACTGTAATCAATTTAAATTTGCAACATTCCTCTGGAGGAATACTTTGTAAATACGCATAAGTAGCTCTACAACATTTTGATGGTATGTTAGGAAGTGTTAAGCTCAAAAATTTGTTTAATGTATAAAGTGGTTCAGCTCCAGAGCAATTAGGATAACAAGATATAAACCTTATGATAATTTTTAAAATAAATTAAGTACTAAAGAAGGTGAAAAAGATATATATTGAATTGCTAAAGCTAGGGAAAGAAAGTAAAAGGATTTAGGTAATATTAGATGCATTAAAGACGAAGATTGAATAATACTTGTTAATGATAACGAGATTAAGAAAAGATGAAGAAATTATTTTTATAATTTATTTAATGAATATTCCACATAGGACTTCGATCTAATGATAAATAGTCGTGGTAGATTTAATAATCATAGATTTATTCATAAAATTATAGCTAGTTAAGTAAATAACACATTAAAGAAGTTGAAAATATTTAAGTATTAGACCTCATGGTATCCCTATTGAGGTTTGAAAAAGTTTAGGGGATAAGGGAATAGCTTGGTTAACTAGCTTATTTAACAAAATTATGAGATTCAGAAAGATGCCTGATGAACGGAAAAAGAAATTTTTTGTCAATTTGCAAGAAAAAGTGAGACATACAAAATTGTTCAGATTATAGAGGAATTAAAATCATGAGTCATATTATGAAAGTTTGAGAAAGAGTTATCGAAAGTTGGATAAGGTTTGAAACAAATATATTTAAAAATTAATTTGGTTTTATGCTTAGAAGATCAACCATAGAAGTTATTTATTTATTAAGATAATTAATGGAAAAGTATAGGGAGAAAAAGAAACATTTGCATATGATTTTTATTGACTTAAGGAAAATCTATGATAAATGTTCTCTAGAGTTTTATTATTGGTGGGTTTTGGAAAAGAAAGGTGTATCTACTAATTATATTAATATTATTAAAGATATGTTTGATATTGTATCTATTGGTGCTAGAACTATATGGAGTGTATCTAGTAAGTTTCCTATTAGTATAGGACTACATCAGGGATCCACATTAAGTGCCTAACTTTTTACATTGATAATGGATGAATTTATTAGTCATTTACATGATAGACCCCTTGGTGTTTGTTATTTGTTGATGATGTTGTTTAAGTTGACGAGAGTTCAAGTGGAATTAATTATAAACTTGAGCTATGGAGACAATTCTTAGAAATTATAGGTTTTTGATTAAGTAGGACTAAAAATAAATATTTAAGATGCAATTTTAGTAATTCTAAGAATAGACAAGAGAATATAGTTAAGTTAGATTGATAAGAAATTCCTTTGAGTAAAAGCCTTAGGTATCTTGGATCAATTATTGATAAAGATATTATTTATATAGTAAAAATAAGATGGTTAAAATGATGAGGGGTGTTAGGAGTCTTGTGTGATCAATCGGATACCTTTGAGATTAAAAGAAAAATTTTATAAAACTATTGTGAGACCAACAATGCTTTATGGATCTGAGTGTTGAGTGTTGGATAAGTAAAAAACAACATATACAAAAAAGTTTATATTGTCGAAATGAAAATATTGAGATGGATGTGTGGATTTACTAGGAAAAATAAGAAAAAAATATTTTTATTTGTAAACAATTAGGTATTGTTTCGATAGATGATAATATGAGAACAAATAATTTAAGATGGTATAAATATGTGCTTAGGAGACATCTAGATGCGATAGTCAGAAGAGATAAAATAATTAATGCTAGTCGTACGAGTAAAGGTAGAGGAAGACCTAAAAGGATTTTAATAGAAAGATAAATAAAAATTTAAGTATTCTTAACTTAATTAAGCATATGATTTTTACATATCTCAATGGTGACAAAAGATCTATGTTTTTTTAATATTTAAACTGTAGAAGAGAATTTTGCCTTGTGGATGATGACTCTTTGTCCACTGTTTTTTTCCACTCTTGCAACTCTTATATCTTGAAGATTCTGGTGAAGGAAAAATGAGCAGTATCATTGAGATTAAATACGCCTTCAAATTTTTAATCTGATATGTGTTCTATTATTCTTCAATTACAGAACTAGAGCAACCAGAGGCATTGAGGTATCTTTACAAGTGGCTCCAAAATCATCCAAAATATGGAGTTTTAGCTACTCCAGAGCTTGCAGATTCTCCATATTATGGTGATGTAAGTATCTAAATAATTGCTGATTTATTGTATGTGTTCTTAGTTCTTAGATTATGAAACAAAGGAGATGCAGTAGAAAACCATGTCTTCTCACATGATGATTCCAGAATATCTGTGACAAGTACTGCTGATAACTAAACCAATACCAACAACAATCATTTAATGGTTTTGCACCACTGTAGTAGTGTCCCATATCTGCTCTAGATTGGTGCCCAGGTTGGTGTCACTTATATTTTTGAACTTCTTACATGCAAAATAATTATTCCCATTGGTGATATCAGGTTGCTAGGTTGTTCAATGAGGCAGCTCAAATGTCACCTGAGGATGCTGATGTCCATATAGTTCTTGGAGTCTTGTACAACTTGTCGAGAGATTATGATAAAGCCATAGAATCCTTCCAGACAGCATTAAACCTCAAGCCTCGTGATTACTCTCTCTGGAACAAACTTGGTGCTACCCGAGCAAATAGCATCCAGAGTGCAGATGCCATACTGGCATACCAACAGGTGGGTCATTGCTTGGCCATGTTATGCATCTATAGTTGATTTATTCATAAGGTTTAGTTACTTAATCAGGTGTTCTTGTTGTTAATGCTGCTTGGTCCCACCTAATAGTCTCGTATATGTACTGAATAATTTATAGATATTTTTCTTGCTCTATTTGTGAGGCATATATTTCATTTCATTTAGGGCTAACTCATTTATTGCATGGTCTTAATTGCATGCATAAATGATTCTTCTTGGATTACTTCATAATCTTGGTCCTTAAGTTAATTGTTTGTGCAATGTCACCGGCTTGACTGGCTTACAGATAAACTCAATTCTTATGTTAGGAGAGTTTTGCTCTTTTCTTGTATTTTTATTATTTGTTGATCACAAGCATGTTGTCCTGGTTTAATATTTAGAAGGGCTTGGTTCGTTCAGCATGTAGTTGGCTTTAAATCTGAAGAATGAAACTATAGAAATGTGGAAGGTGGGGGACGCGTGAAGCAACTATCTATTGTAGTTCAGAACTGCTTATGTCTAGGTTCAAATTTCTGACAGGTGTCTGACTTTTCTATACACTATCTGGAAAATCACAAACTCTTCAACTTCTAGAGGACGGTGATGATTGATGCGTTGTACTTCCAAAAAGAAAATATAGCAAATCCAGAAAATGATGTAGCAGAAGACTTTGAATAATCATTGTTTGAAAATAGAAAAGCACCACGTTCTTTTATTTTATTCATATGGTCTTATGCATTTATTGACTTTGTTTGTGTACTAACGTTTTCCTTTTATACTTGCAATTACTTTGTAGGCATTAGACTTAAAACCCAATTATGTTCGTGCATGGGCAAACATGGGTATAAGCTATGCCAATCAGGTATGTTTATTTGATATCAAAAAAATCATAAGCATTTTCCTTATGCCAGATAATAGTTTTTTTTTCCCTCAACAGAAGTCTGTGTACCAAAAGTTGGGATTCAAATGATAGAAAAACAGATAGTGGTCAAATTTTGGTTTATGACCCATTTATTTGTGCATTTAGTTGCATTGGCCTATCATGTTTTGAGATATATTGGCAGAATTAGAATCATATTAGCCACTAAATGGTGTTGTAGAAGTTCTAAATTACACTCTCTCAGGAACAAGTTTAAATTTACGGTGCTTGTCTTCTACCCCTTTATGAAAAAAAAGTTTTACTTGAGGTGATGATGAAAAAAATAGACCAAGAATTGTCGTTTTACCATGTGAGCCATATTGTTTAAATGAAAACTAGTATAGTTCTAACTTCTAAGTTCATCAACCTTAGATAATTCTTGTTTATCTTTTCCTTGTTCAGGGTCTATATGAAGAATCTATCCGGTACTATGTTAGAGCGCTAGCTATGAATCCCAAAGCAGATAATGCCTGGCAATATTTGAGGATTTCTCTCAGGTATGCCACAGAAAATTTCTTAAGCATAAAATAAGCATTGGGGAAAAAAAAAAATCAATTACAAAGAATTATTGTACTTCCATTTTCACAGCTGTGCGTCTCGGAATGACATGTTTGAAGCTTGTGACTCGCGAAACCTTGATATTCTTCAGAAAGAGTTTCCTCTATGAGATCCGGTGGGGAAGAGGACTTTTCTTGAAGGAACTTTTCTTATTATAGTCGATGATTTGTAAAGAGGTTGGGCATCCCACAAGCGAAACATGTCAAAGGTGACACCTGAAGAAGGAATTTGATTGAGCTTTTTAACCAGAGCTCTCAACAAATTGTGGTTTCAAGTTGGACAAACCATGGTACCACATACAGAATAATTTATATATGCGTCGGCAATGAATGGAGATCAATAAGTTTGTATCTGCATTAACAAATAAAATTGGGTGATTTTTGTTTTTTCATAAATAACCTAGAGGTGATGTCGTTCACCCTTTCTTGCTTGTCGTCGTTTATCATTTATGAATTTCTTGCCTTCTCCTGTATTTTCAATTTCATCGTTTTTTCACTTCATCCCTTTTACTACCCCCTTCATCTCCATCTCCGCTACCTCATCTCTGCAGAGCTGGGACAGCAAAAATCAGAGCCTCTCCTGCCCTCTTCAATTGTTTCAACCTTCTGGGCTGCTCTCTTCCTCCGTTGTCTTTGGCTCACCTTGATGACGGTTATATTCTGCCTGTTGGTTTCCCCTGTTCTTTTGGTCTTCAATGCTGAACTCAGAATCACGTCCAGTGTGCTTTGGACGTGAATGAACTCTAGATGAGTGGTGTTGCTGATGATCTGATACTGAATGAATGATATCTTGATATCAGAGTCTGAATTATATCTTGATTCACGTTCAACATACTTTGACTTTGCGTGGTGATATGGTCATATGCCTTTTCTCTCAGAATCTACCTGTAAACTCAACAAGATTGCTGATTCAGTTGGATAAACAACAAAAAGGAAAGAAATATAAATAATATGCAACTCTTTAGAATGTTGATCTTTCACTCGGGATGTATTGTTTGCTGCCAGCCTAATACAGGAAATATATGATAATAATTTTTCACAACAAACAGAAGCTAGAAAATAATGATAGAATTAAAATGATGCTGGTTATGAAGATGAATTAGTTTTTGGTCACAACCTCTTTCATCATTTCAGCAAACTGTGGTCATGATTTTGGCAAACAGCATACAAGATACTCATAATACCATGCCAAAAAAAATGTGTGATTTAATAGAAAGAGATAGATAGAGTTGGACAAGAATGAGATCTGAAAATAAGCATATTACTTAGAGAAGAAAGAAAATTTTCAAATGAGAATTTAGAGGGCTGGTTTAGTTTCGTGTACTATTCTAATTCAGTTAGAAAATTTTCGTATTTGTAATAGTATCAATGCTAATAGAATAATTTGTAATGGAAATTCTAGCATCCAATAAAAGAATCTGAGCAGACAACTCATGGTCATCTTGATGGGATTATTCCTTATTCGAGCAAGTGCCTCCTGCTCATGCTGACGGATAAGAAGCAAACGGGCAGAATGGAGTTTCCTCCAGGCATCATTTGCTGACCGTGGCTTATCCTCAAATAGAGCTCCATGAACAGCAGTCTTGACACATTATGAGAACTTGTCACATGATACATCTTAGGAACTATGAGACAATAAACCTAGAGTACTGAAGAAAATATGTAATAGCAAGGCAACATCCAAGTAACTATGATGACAGAAGTGAGCTGAGAACAATGAATATTAATGGAAGATTACCTACACACATAAGCCATAAATTCTTCTTTAAGAAACTACATTAGGCATATTACACTAAATCAATCAAGAAGTGCTGGAGGCAAACAAACAAAAGTGAGCTTTAATGACGCGAAACAACAAATCTGCAGCAATAATAAGTAATAGATGATGTACAATACAACAACAAATAAAAAAATATGTTCCATTTGGTAAAACATGGTGGCATAGGATCGGTTCCATTTATCAGAAACCAATGGTGCATTGCTTCTACCAGTTAGGATATAGAAACATCAAGCAAAAGCTTCATATGAGCATAAGTCTTCGGCAAAAGATTCATTCCACGTGTACTTGAAATCTATGAAAAATGCAAAGATTCAAGAAATACTCACTCTATCATATGAATGTTTACTTGCAAAGAGGTTGTAAACAAAAGACACAGACCCAAAATGAAATCATATGTATGTATGTATGTAGTATATATAATATATGAACGTTCTTTCACATAAGGCATATAACCTTCAATGTATGCATGGTCATCCAAATAAAAACAGTCTCCAACAAGGATGCTGGATCTTGAAAGAAAAATGTGTTAAGCAGCACAATAGGTGAAGAATAACAGCATTCTAGCTGAAACTACTCCATATCAATTGGAGAATTGAGTGTTTTCCCAGAAAGCTAGACAAGTTACGACTATTAACATGTATGGTTGATGGTTCTACCAATACAGAAAGGTACCCTTCTATGTGATTTACTATTTTGCCAATTCTGATACAAATTTTTAGTTATATTATTTAATCAGTCAATAGAAACAGTTTCAAATATTGCTGTACTGATAGCAGGCTACTTTCTGTTTACTATCACATGTTCAACGTATTCCAAACCAATCAAAACTTAAACAGAAACATGACAAATATCTTTAGAATATTCTGTTATGAACAAATGTCATCAAATAAACCAAAGAGAACATCTTGAACTAGATTCCACAGCAACAGAGAGTAGGATATTAAGTATCATGGCTAACAATTAGCACATCTCATCCTTCTATAAGAATCCAGTTATCATTGGATTCCTATATCAATTTTCATATGTCTAATGTGAAAAGAAGGAAAATCAGATCGTGATTCATTGTCCACAGATGAAATAACTACATTGCTAACCTGTTAGATATTTGCCCAAACCTTGCTGTGTTCCAACCGGCACTTCAATGTCATCTGTAGATCTCAAATGTAGAGTCTATATGAGACTAATGGCTACTACTTTCCCATGAAATGTTGTCCTACAGCTCATCTTTCATCACCATGGAAAAGAAACTGATGTGTTAGCTGGATTGATCAACTCAGAAACTTTTTCAGGGGTGTTTTGGGTTCTCACCGGCTTGTGAGTGATCCATTCATCAGTTCTGCAAGAGGTAACATCACCCAAGCAGTTTTAAAGGGTTACCCAATCCATCTAAAATTCTAAAGTGCAGTAGCCCCCTAGAAACGTTGTCCAATTGACCTGACATTTTTCTCAGAATACATCAATACTGAGAAGTATTTCTAAAATTATATCAAGTGTCAAGCTTCATTTCTCCAAAACCATACTCGTTTGGCCACATCGATGGACTGTATACTCATGGAATGAAGTAAAGAAGGCACTTCCAGACTTCTCTTTCCCCATGATGAGAACTATATATTCATGGCACTACATATCTGTTCTTGGTGCATGTTGAAAATGACAGGGTTTACAGGTTGAGATTTCAAAGATAGAAGTAGAGAACATGGAGAAAGAAGAAAGAGGAAGAACAAAGATTCAGAGAGAAGAAGATAGAGCAATGTAGGCATAGTTATGGTTCTCAAGTTTAAGAGGAAGAAATAGTATACTGATGCTATTCTCTAAGTGTATGTTTAGAATTTTATAATTTTTCTCACCTTTCAAGCATGCCAACAAGAAACTTCTGATATTTATGAAAATCACGGAAGAATAATAGTTTCTGAGTTTCTGTCGTGGCCATTTTATTTCGGACATGATCTTTGCGCACATCCAGAGGAGTATAGGCTTACAATTTAGCTCTCTATATAATTGAGAAAAACTTAGAACACTTAAACCCTGGGACAATTCAGACATCTAAAAAACATGCCAGTCCAAGGATCCACAAAAAAGGAGCATATTACTTCAGTCACATATAGGAGTTGGAGCTTAAGATGATGCATGAAATGTCATGCTAAAGACTATATAACACAGGGTGAAAATCTTCATTATTCAACTATTTGATGAAGTAACAAGTCCAATACATCTCTGCAAAATGAATGCCTTCTCTTTTCTTCTTTTCCTCCAGAGTGTACTTATGATATGTACCAACCACGATAAGCCAACTTTCTCTACTCATAATAAATTCATATATGTATTCGTTGTATATTCACATATACTTATTAGGTTTCATGATGGCTGAAGTGGGAGATTTTGAAAAATCTTCTGGCATAACCAACATGAAAAGGGTCCTTTAGTGTAGCTCACTAATTATAGAGCAAAAATCCCAGAGTTCAGCTCATAGATTATGCCCTGAACTTCTCTTTCATACTTAAAAACACTTTATGTCAAAGTAGACAAGAAAATTCCTTCCATATAATAAGTCCCTTGTTTGCACATGAAGTCCCTAAGGCAACCTCATTCTTATCAAGATAGTCCTAGGTCATTGTCATCAAATAAAGAATTCCAGTCACAGTTAAATTAATGCAGGTGTTGCATTTAATATTCCATATCTCCTAGAGTGTAAAGATTTTCTAAAATAAAATATTACTAATAATTACAAAGATACATGTATGACTGATATATTCTGTAGACAAAACAACAGTATATTCAATGTCAATTGATGGTCCAAAATAGAAATATATGGCTAGCCACTGACCAAATTTAACACAGAAACAGATTCCACGGAAAGAAGAGCGAAAAAGAAAAATAAGCATGCCTATGATTCTCATTTATCAAATACAATGCATCCACAAATCATGGTTATAAATTTTCCTTAACATAGTGTAATAAAGTAATATCCTGCAACAAAGTTGCTCATTCTTATCCAATATAATTGGAGATTACTGTCGCCAAAGAGAGATCTCTTCCATATAAATCTTAAGTGATATATCTTGAGCAACCTATCATCTGAAACCCTCAAAGATTAAACCATGTGAGACCTATCAACTAGTAGCAAAGTTCAGGTGTACCAGCATGTCAGAATAATATCATGTCCTCATATAAGACGAACCAGCATGATCAATAAAGCTACTTTTTATGTAACTGTTATTAGGTTTAGCCAGCTGTGATATAACAAGCTTCATATGACATGCACGCACTTCAAGACTTTCTTTATTAGGAACTGGCCAATTGGAACTATCGATACACTGAGAAAACATGAAAGGGTTTTCCGGCTTCATAAATTATAACAGGCAAGAAAAGAGTTAAACTCATTGACTGGTCATAGACAAAGGAATAATAAAACAAGGGGCGTGGTCAACATTCCATATGCTCGTGTATATTATTCGAAGTTGTAATAGTTCTTTGTCAAATTCGTCTAGACAGTTATCAGTGAAGTACACAATATATCCATGTTGAAGAATTAAGGTTCAGTTGATGCCTAGCAGCATCAAACAACATGTGATACCCCATCCTTTTTATACTAACTATCAATATATCTGATGTCAAAAATGAATAACATAATAAACCCAAAAAGAATTGTACCTTGGAGGAACTAGCCTCGGATGCTGAGGTAGTGGAAGCCACCGCTGGTCGTCCTTGAAGCGTTCCCCTTCCCCACCGTCAACCCTGACTCCTAGAGGAAATCCAACCTTTTCTGTCTCCTACTCCGATCCAAAACCCAACCAATAATACAAGATCGGAAAACAAGACTCCAAGAATCGAATAAACGGTCTCTTTTCATCAACAAATCAAGGAAACCCCTAATCGTAACACCAAGAAACCAAATACGGGAAGGGGAAAAATCTTTTTCTCAAGCCAATCAAGCGAAACCCTAACCGTAGCACCAAGAAACCAAAGATGTGGAACGGGTGCGTACGGAACAAGCCCAGCCTGTCCCTGGAGGAGAAGGAACTCGGAATTCTCGCGCTCATCCTGGATCTGCTTGCGGAGCTCCTCGAGCTTGCGCTGCTCGGCCTCGTGCTTCTGCTCCGCCTTCCACACGTTCTCGATGTTGCGGAGGCTCCCCGTGTGCCATCCATTCTTGTTCAGAAACTTCAATGCCATACCCTCCTCCTCCAAGAACCTCGCTGTGTCTCCTCTTCTCCGACCACTCTCTTGCGCCTCTTGATCTCCTCCCCTTCTCTCTTCAATTTGGAAGTGAACGGAAACAAGAATTAGAGATAGACAGACACTACATACGTTGGTGTATGTATATAAACAGATTCAAGATGCTGTGCTTTCAGAAACCTGACGAGATATTACTCGCTCCACAACCTCAACTACAACTTTTGTGGGGCCATCTTTTCTCCAATGATAGGACGGATAAGCTTTTGGTGGACTAACACGGTGTATATATGTAAACAGATTCAAGAATCTGTATAAACAATAAAATAAGAATCTGGTGAAACTTTACCCGAACATTACCTGCCGTAGAGTTTGTGGGCCCACCGTTTTCTCCAATAACATGACAGAGATGTCAGTGTGTGTTACTGTTCATGTGTATAGATAAACAGATCCAAGAATCTGTGGAAACAATAACGGAAACCTGCTGATGATGTACCCGCTCTTGCACACTGTCTCCTAGTTTTTGTGGGACCGCGTATGTTTCCAATGGAAAGACAGATAGAGTAATTATGCGGGTATTTGCGCGGGTTAAAATAACGTATCAAATAAAGGAGTGCTCTGTGGTTGACTGTTGGCCGACTCGTGGAGAAATACGTGTGGATGTCCTCACTGGGCCCCGCTGAGTAGCGCCGAATACGCTTTCTTCGTGTTCTTAAATTGAGTTTGAGTGCATTAGTATGGCTGCTGCGTCACAAAGTTCAAATAATAATAAAGATATGGGTGGAACATTTCTGCTAATGTACTTAATTTCCCATAGCCAGCATTGGTGGCGTTAAGCGTCGTGTGCGTTCACGGTCAAAGTTTTCGAACCACTTTGCACTGGTCCGCTCGGTCCAATGTCTTCTCACGACAACCAACCGTGACGGCGTTTCGCCCCCAACCATTTCGTATTAATATATTTTATGCCAAGTATTTTTCTAGTTAACAAATTAGCCTTCTCGCCTTCTTTGGGGCGAGCGTTTTTACGCGCGTATGCGTTTTAATATTTCAAAGGGCGAACCCGTAATTCCGCATCTCTCGCCGATACCATCACCAACCCAAGCAAAGCCGCCCCTTTTCTGCTTCTGTTCTCTTCTCCTTTCCTTGGCGACGAGCGCCTGGCCGGGCAAGCAAAGGCCGGAAGACCGAGATGGCGATGCAGGCGGGGATCTCGTCATCCAAAGTCCTCGTTCTCGTTGGTGCAGGTCCGAATCACAGCGATCTCTTCTTTTTTCATCGACAAGAGTCTCTCTCTCTGTCTTCCCCAACTCTTTTTTTTTGTGGTGATCAGGTCTGACCGGTTCGATAATCTTAAGGAATGGCCGGCTGTCTGATGTATTGTTGGATCTTCAGGTGATTGTCCGAATTCATTCTCTCTCTTGAAATATGAAGTCTAGATTTCGTTTTCCCCCGCAAGTTTGGTGAATTTTCTTGGCGTCTAAGGGAACCAGCAAAACGATCGCCTGGCTGAGATCATTAACAGAATCTTAGTTGGCTTAGTAGGCTCTTTTGTTGCGCTAACTTTACTGAAGAAGAAAGGTATGCTGCAGAGTGCTCAGAAATCGTGTATGTCGTCAAATGGCATAGATTATAGAGTCCTAGAGCCACACCCTTGGGCATTGGTTTCGCATAGAAAGAGTTCCAATGAATCATATATACTCTTCCTTGATTTCCTCCTTGGTTGCTCAAATATTTCCTCCTTGGTTGCTCAAAGATTATAGAGTCCTACATGATTCAACAAAGTTCATAAAGATGACCCCTTCGTTGCTCAAATATTTCCTCCTTGGTGTAAAATTAATTAGGATGAAGTAGACCCACTTCGCTCCTAATTTAGATTTCACTCGTGACAAATATTTCCTAAGGTCTCTACTTTGTTTTTAATAACTCTCTGAAAATATCCTTTGGACCAAGACAGTGCTGAACCAAAACCTAATAACTGGTAAAGATGTTAATTTACATGTTCCCAAGATGGATTTTGACACTACTTTATTGACTCATCCATTCATGTGGTTGAATATTTTTGTCAACTGATTTCATGTTATTCTTCCTTTGACAGTGGAATTCAGATAAGTTGTATGATCATTGAATGTTCTCATACTTACAGCAGAAATATTCCTCCAAGATCTGTTTATCTTTTTCTCTAGATTTCCTGATTAGTAATTACCAGGGAATGTACTTCCAACTTTCAGGAACTTATGAAAGGCGTTAACGATACAAATGTCTCTTCGAACTACTACGACTCTGCTCTTCTTGCATCTCAGGTATAATTCTTGTTCTTTTTCTACTTTTTTCTGTGTTGTGTTTTAAGAACTCCATATGGAAAGTTTATGTAGTTCTCAAATTTTGCTCAGGAACATTCAAGTATCTCTTTATATTACTATTTGCAAAATCTGAAATCAGTAGATAGTTAGGTTCTAACTTGTGTCAGTGTCTTTGTTCAGTTTGATTAATAAATTAATCTCTATTCATTTTCATCCAATAATACTTCCTTTTATGTATAATTTTGATAAAAGAGTTATTTAAGTAACATTATAAATCCTACTGCTTCAAAATTGAAAACCACCATGTCTATCTTGCAACATAATGGATGAATCCACTTATTAAACCTATAGGAATATAGCTAACTCAAGGACTTTCTCAAAGTCATATATTCTAGAATGTCCCAACTGATGTAAATATGTAATTTTGATCTGATACCAGTTTTGGTAATCTACCAGACATGTATCGTATCGGTATACAGAGCTAACTCAAGGACTTTCTCGAAGTCATATATTCTAGAATGTCCCAACTGATGTAAATATGTAATTTTGATCCGATACCAGTTTTGGTAATCTACCAGACCTGTATGGTACTGGTATACAGATCCATACCATCTGGTATTACCCAAAAAGAAAAAAAAAAGACCAGTTCAACAATGGTTGATGGTTGGTGGGCACAGACTGGTATTTTAAACCGTACAGATTATTTTCGTGACAATATTTTACTTATATTGTAATTAATCAGAAAGCCATATAATTTGTGCCTACTTTCATGGCACATCCTTATTTTAAATCTCTACTTTCACGAATGCATTAACCAATTATATCATGCATTTAAAATCTATTTTGTAAATCTAGGTGTCATTACACTGGAGTATCACAATTATAGAAATAGTTGAATATACTATTACAAAACATGGTTGAAGGTCATCTGATGAAAGATAAAAGAAAGCATTGTACCATATGATACATTCTAAAGGAGCATTTAACTTGATTTCATGTAACATGTCGTGATACACTTTTTGACCTGAACCCTAGAAGCTTTAAGTAATCAGTATACTTGAGGTTTGAAGCTTGTTTTTATTAACTTAGGATGACTGAACTGTTTAAAGATAAAAACATTTTTATTGCTTTCCGTTTCGTAGATGTTTTTCTCTTGCTCACATTTTTGTTGTCCTTGAATGTAGATTAAGCATTTGGCTAAAGAGATCAGGGATTTGACAATATCTCGACCGGTTACCATAGTCAATGGTGACACTACTACTGGTAACGATCTCATACACATTTATCTTAAGTTGGTATTCAGATTGCTTAATTTACATGAAATTATTTAGTTAATTTTATTTCTCTTTATTTTTTGCACTTTTTTTGCTTAGTAATGTGCTTACTGTGTTTTCTTCCTTGTAATTTACATTTAAAAGATATTGAGTTCATTAAGGATTGTAAAACTAAAGGTAAACCATTTTTATGCATGGTTGTCAAATTCCTGGTTTGGGTTATAGAATCTCATGATGATATGGTCCAATCTAGCTTGAGCTATCCAACTTGGCTGTAGGTTCTAGAATTGGTAGGATCATGGTTGCCATGCTGTCCAAATGAATGCAAATACAAGGCATTTATATCTTTTTCTTCTCTTTTGTTACTTCAGGGGGTTTAACATCCTACATAATGCCTGCTGCTGCAATTGGAGCATTGGGGTACTGTTACATGTGGTGGAAGGTAAGCTCTGATTTCAGAAAAATATGAGGGTCATGTAACTTAAAAGCTGAAAATATTCTGTATCATGGACTTATGGGTTAGGCACTTCTACACCATGAATAGCTTTCAATCAGTTTCTTTGTTAGACGAGTCATTACTAATACAAACTGAAAGAAAAGAAAGAATAGTACAAGAAAAGAGTGCTGCTATATGCCAGATGTAAGATTTTATTGCCAGAACAAAACCCAGATGATTTTCTACATGCTACTTAACTAGAAGTGGAAAAATAAAAACAAAAACCTACAAATAGAGGTCAATTAGTGAATTGCAGTACATAACCATTTAACTAGATTTACTATAGCTTAGCTTAGTAACCATACACTTGTGAACTTAATATTTTATTGTTTTCATTGTCTGTTATGTTGTTTCAAGTCTGTGGCATCACGACTTTCCTGCTTCTAGGGCACAAACTAATGGATTCATACTTGTAGATTTGGCTCAACTTTGTGAAGGCAAATTCCACATCTGTCTGTAGTAATAAGATATGCTAATTAACCTTTCAGAGATGTTGTAGTGGATAATTCAAAGTCACCAATATGTGGATGCATCAGTTATCTGCTTTCTTGCCTCATTACGGTGTTAATGTATACCATCTTGGCTGAATCATATGAGCCACACTTGCATCTTTAAAGACACAGCTTGCTGTTCTATGTAGACCTTTGAAATTATAAAAGAAGATTATCTTATAAGACAGAGTGATTTTATTATTTTGTTTTTTGTGCCCTTGTCTTTGCAGGGATGGTCCTTCTCTGATGTCATGTTTGTCACAAAACGGAATATGGCCAGTGCTGTTGCAAACGTGTCGAAACAACTAGAGCAAGTATCTGCAGCTCTAGCTGTATGTTTGAGATCTCTCACTCTTAAGATTGAGTTTAAAGTTGCTTGTGCATTTAACTTATTATTTTGAGTCATTCGTTTTTCAGGCAACAAAAAGACACCTAACCCAGAGGCTTGAAAACTTGGATGGGAAACTGGATGAGCAGAAAGAAATGTCTAAATGTATTATGAATGAGGTTCGTAAATCTATACAGTTGGTGCACTACCTCTTATAAGAACATTCAGATTCAAGATTTCCATAAGTTATCAGTTAATGCTCGTGACCTATATATGTTCCTGTAGAAGCAAGTTGACCTTAGCATGCCACTTTTTTTGGTGATAGGCACATAACCGTAAACCAGCCGATAGATTCATTTGTGATTACTGGTGCAAGAGGAAAAATTATTAAAATCAATAAAAGAAAAATTGATATCTCTTAGCTTAAATGAGCTTAATGACTGGAGTAGATTACATTCAAATAGTCAGGACCTTACATTTTATTGCAGTTGTAAATATATAACCATATGATAGTGTAGATTGAAATGAAAGCCCACAAACTTTTGTTTCATGAAGTTATTTTTTTAATGAAATTTATTTCTTCTTGATAGTGGACTTTTGATTGTGTTGAATCTTGCTATTTCTTCTTCACATGCTACTTAAGTGTCTTCTTTTGAATAAAGTGCATACACATGCATATGCATGTTTATTTTTTATATGTATAATATGTTTTGCTTGTGAGAACATCTATGCCATAATTTTTTTTTCATTTTGTATGCACATGGTGGATCAACTGGGTCAATTATCCAAATCATGACATTTTCATTTTTTGCTGGGCATGTTTGTTGAAGTGCACTTTTGATTGAAGGAAGCACCATACTGAAACTCATTTGCCTGCCCTAATCTGCATGTCTGAACCTTACTGAATCCAGATGACATCCTTCATGTATATATATGTATGTGTATATATATATATATATATATATATATATATATATATATATATATATATATATATATATATATACATACATATACATTCATATATATATATATATATATATATACATACATACATATATATGTTTGTGTGTGTTTATAGGAGCAGAAATAATAATTTAGTTCAGTATGGAGAAATATTTAGGTAGTTCATGTTACTATGAAAATAATTGCAGACACTATCTACAGAAACTAGCTACTGTTGCAAATAGGTATTCTATCTTTACTAGCAAAGCTTAGTGTGTTATTTTTGTGGTGGAGCTCAGGTTGCTTGAAATTTACTGTAACTTGAAAATTATTAATCTATGATCACATTAGCAAGTTTACTGGATAACAAATCAAAGGCTATTCTAAATTATCTTATAGTTGTTGTAAATTATTACCACAAAATGTGACTAAAACATCAACAGAATGAATATTCACTAAATTGACATATTATATGGTAGCAATGTGTATATTTGGTTAATATTGTTAAATATAATATGTTAGATGCAACAATGTTATTATGGCTAGCAATGGTGAGATCTAGCAGTAAGACTATGTAGTTGTAAAATGAACTTTTGCTTAATTTTCCTTCTAGATTTTGGTGCTAGCCCGAGATGCCACTTGTGCATAGTCAATTGTGGACTATGTAGTTCCATAGGACTGCAGTACTAGCTGTTGAACATGTATTGGGCATTGATCTTAGCAACAAGTGTTCCAAAATCATCCGTCCATGTCATCTTAATATCATTTATTGTAACAGTTAAAATATTCCATAGATTAAGTGCCTAATGTATTTATGCCTAGTTGGCAATATCTGCAGCGTTCAACTTGTCCCATGTGCTTTGTATATTAATCAAAGTTGTTTCATAGTGTTACCAACAAACAGAAGAATTTGTCTTCTGGAGCCATCAGCTTGGCCCATGTGCTTTGTATATCAACAAACGATGTGTCATATTGTACGGACAAATGGAAGAATTTGTCAAGTGCTTTAAATGAAAATGAATGTCATACACTTGGAATTACAGATAATCCTTGTAAAATTTGAAATTTACATCTGTTCATGTGTTTTTATGTCAGCTTTTGAGACAGTCAAGTAAGCTCTATGATGCTTGTTAAGTCAGCAATTATTGTTTTGTAAATGTGCAGGTTAATGAGGTTAAAACTGATCTTTCTCAAATTGGATTTGATATTGAATCGATTCAGAACATGATAGCTGGACTGGTGAGTCACGAGCATCAATATTTGTTCATTTTCACCAGGTGAGGCTTAGATGATGATGTTTGAACTGATGAGAGTTTTGTCACTTCGAGCAGGAAGGAAAGATTGGACTTCTTGAAAATAAACAGGTTTTAATACATACATATTACATATATATCACTAATATCTATGCCATAGGCACTGTAAGAGATTCTACTAGATCATTTTGCTTATGTTATTACCATGCAGGATATGACTAATGCAGGTATATACTATCTATGCCAATTTGCTGGGGGCATTAAAGATGGACTGAATGGAAAATTCTTTCAGGTCAGAAGCCACAATATTATTCCTACCTCCTAAATTTGTTTTTGAAGTGCAACTCTGTACCCTTTTTTGATCTCATGTTCTGGAATTCTATGCAAACTGTCTTTAACCATATCCAACTAAGATGCATATAACCATATCTAACTAAGATGCATATGGTATGATGTAGCATTCTGCATTAGCGATTTCAACATCCTGTTTTCTATGCAGTAAATGTTTTTAATGAAATTATAATACTGTGAATCTAATACACCTTGATGTTTATGCTTTAATGGAACCACAGATGGCTTTCCTGGAAACATGATTATCATTGAGTAGAACAAAATATCCCAATTATTTGTACTTCATCCCTTGCTTAGTTTACCTATAGTATTAGAAACTTCAGTTGATTTAGCTACAATCTCTGGAATATCTGTTGGCAGGAAGCTAGTGAGAAACTTCAGTTTACTCAGTCTTCAATCACCTTTTCTCCAGATGAATCAATCAAGGTACATTTTGAATTTTAGTTTAGATTGTTCAAAAGCTTGTCCTCATGCTATATCTTCTACTTCAGGGCTTACAATTTATTGCGGAAAATATCAAAGTAGGAGAGGCAGATAAACTGAAGCCAATGACTATTTCTCAAAAAGATACGCAGGAGAAACCGATGAAAACAACGATCCTGAGAAGTACAACAATTCACAGATCATTCCCTGGTGGTATTTCCCATAGGAAAGACGGGATTGCTTTATGATCTGCAATGGACTCGCAACAGTTTTGATTAATGTTACAAGTTTGCAAGTGTTCCTCAGCTTGGTGACAGCGTGTATGATGTGCTCCACATCAAAGGTATCCGCTAAGTGGACTAGAAGATACCTGTGACACCAATTCTTGTCTATTTGTTGTACCAGTTATTTACAACTTGAAAATAAGATGTAAATATACATCTTATTATTAACCATTCATGAATTCCTTTATTAACCATAGTCTATAATTATACATTCGATTACACACGCACACACACCCCGCCATATATATATACATATATATATATATATAGAGGAAGTAAGATGCATAAATTACACCTCGAACAGAAACTTCTCCAAGTAGTTGAATCCTGTCTCGGGAAGACCCATCTCTACCTCGTCATCCTCCGCTACCCAGATTACCTGCAGGATCTCGTCCCAGCTCGCGGGAATCCCCTCGACGGCGGTGACGGGCGCCGCGGCCACGACGGCATCGAGGACCTCCTGGAGCGCGACGATCCGGCGGGCGACGGCCCTCCTCAGCTCCCGCACCGCCGGGTAGACACTCGGCACGGAGTCGAGCCGGAGCAGCAGGGCCATTAGGCCCTCGCTCACCCGGAGCCGCTCCCGCTCGTCCCTCCTGACGGCGTCCACCGTCTCCTGCCGCCGGATTCGCTGCTCCATCCGGGCGGCTTCGGCCTCGACGGCTCTGATCTGCCCCACGAGGGTTTGGACCAGGTGGCCCCGGTAGGCGGACTGGATGCTGATGGCGGCGGCCGCAGTGACGGAGGCGGGAAGGCGGTCGGGGATGGGCGTCGGGGTTCCATCGGGGGAGTCGATGGGGAAGGAGATTGCGGTGTTGGAAATCGGACAGGTGGTGTGGTCATTTGGGCCGTCGTAGTAGAAGGATGTGGAGGAATAATAGTAGTAGGTGTTGTCGGGGTAGGAATCCATGGTGGCGGCGGTGGAGGAAAGGCAGGAAGAGGCGGAGGAGCGCATTACTCGACTCACGCCATGGGTGGGATAGTTCGGTCTAGCAGTGGAAGTGTGTGATCGAGAAGGTGCGACCATATTGCTTTCCGCACCCACAACGTTACCCGCGAGAGACACATATCTGATACGTTATGATGTGTATATATATACGCACGTAGGATTGGCAGTTTCTATCATTGGGGTATCGGTTTTGGGTATTGACCACTGGTGTAGACACATTTCTCGGAAGGCACCGCCCAAGAAGGTGGTTAGCGTATGGTCTGTTCGGGCTCGCCAAGCCTTTTTTGGCCTGTTGATAGGTTATTTACATCTCTACCCCTATCAATTGAGTTGGCAGAACCGGCTTAGCCCACGGAGTTAATGACTCATGTTGGACTCCGGGACTTGCGTGGAATTCACCTGACTTGGACAAAACAGTCGCAATTAATCGAGGTCAACTTTTGATTTAGATATGTAAAAAATTATATATCTAATTAATTTTAGAATATTAAAATTTTTTATATATAGTTTCTATTAAATTTTTTTAGATTTTTCTTTATTCTTCATGTATCACTAATATTAATTATTTTTATTTTATAATATTTTAATTAATTCTATATCGAAAGTTGATAATAATAAGATTGATCTGAGTATATAATTATCGATCTTAGTTTAAATATTTTTATTAATAATTTAGATTAAATAAAATTGATGAGTCAATTAATTCATCGAGTTCTGACATATGATATTATAATTATTCTTTTCTCAAGTTGACTCATGATTTTCATTTTTTCTAATTTTAATAATTTTGTATGTCATCTTAACATCTCAATATTATCACACTCGATACTTTTAGTTATTTTTATATTTTTTAATACATCATTTACTTCATTAGTTTTAAAATTTTATGAATAAATATTTGATTATTAAATATATCCTTATTTATTCAATAATTTATACAATTAATTTTTTTATTTTTCCTCAATCTCGTTATCATTAACAAATATTTTTTTGATCTTCATCTTTAATACAGTTAATATTACTTAAATCCTTACCCTTTTTCTTTTCTAACCTTAACAATTTCGATATATATATTTTTATCATCTTTAATACCTATTTTACTATAAAAATAATTATAAAATTTATATCTTGTTATACTAATTATTTTGTCACCTTTTTAGATTATCTTACAAATTTTTTTCTTATTTTTATAGTTTTATTAATCTTTAAACCCTGAACTTTTATTAAAAATTATTTTTATGGGCCAAAACAGCGAATAAGATGTATTCACCGGCTTCAAGTTTGACATGACGTCATATAAGGGTCGACGATGACGTTAATAACCATTTCCGTTTCGGCAAAGTGGCTCGTTTGCGTGTGATGACCTTAATCCCTGTCATGGTGAGAGACAGGTAAGTCGACCCCACCGGAGTTACGTCGGAGGGATGTACAACAACAACAAAAAAAGTCTTTTTTTCTTATTGTCCTCGTTAAAAAGCTGGGACGACGAAATCGACAGCCTCGATCGTGGCTCCCCTAATTTTCAAGGTAATAACGATCGCATCTCCAGTCCTGGTTCATTTGGATTCCGATCCTTCTTTTGCCGGCACCTCAAGCGTCATCTCTTTTCCGTGGATTTTTTGTTCGAATTTTATCTCTATGCAGCCGTGGTTCCGATTTGGCTTCTACTTTCCCTATTTAGGGTTCGATGCCTGAACTCCTCGTGCTTTTTGATTCTAGATGATGATTTGAATCAAGTCCGTCCATGTTTTTTCTCGTCCCTTTTTGTCAACTGATTAAAGCCTGGCTTCATCCGTCTTTGAGGGTACACTGTGGATAACCATCGAACTTTTCGTCGTCCCTTTTTGTATTATGGTGGATGATGTTGTGATTAAATATGTTGATTTTTTTCAATTAAAAAGTGATGGTGTTATCTCTACTATCCACCTAAACTTTTAGCATCCTGGCTAGCTGCTTCCTTACTTTGCATAAAGTATTGTTCTTAGACACTGTGAAGACGAACTAACTTGGCATCATGTTGAATAGGTTGAAAATAATTTACATTGAAGCTGAGTGGCTCTGTTATCTTCACTTGAAGTCCCTTTGTAGTTTGTGGTACCAGAAAGCGTTGGAAAAGATTGGCTTGCCGGTAAAGCCTTCAATGCGAGGAGGAAATTGGGTGGTAGATGGATCTCACTGTCAGGGTTGTTCATCCCAATTCACTTTTATCAATAGAAAGGTTTGCATATTTGGATGTAGTTTCGATGACCATCTTCTGGTTTTTTTTGTTCTTTCCTGTATGAGTGTTTTTAACCTAGTCTTTGTCAATGTATGATCATGTGGAAGCACTAACATTGCTAGTCATCCGTGCTATGTTTTTTTTTTTTCTGGTGCTAAATCCTTGTTTCTTTTTCCAGAATTTATATTGACAAGGCTGTATCTAAGAGGATCAAGGAACTGTAACTATTATGTATGGGTGTCTACAAGTTTACTTTTCTTTTCCATCTCTGC